TTGTGAAGTGAGGTTGTGAAGGGCAGTGTTTTAAATTTAGTGGACACATTTTTGATTCCAGCTTCTAATCAGATATACTTTTTTAAAGGAGACCTTATTTCACAAATGCCTAGAGGCTACTAGTAAAACACAGTATGCCTGACTTCACAATTTCTGACCCAAAGGACTCATTCATCACTTGACAGCAGCAGTAAAACAAATAGCCAACCCAGCTTTAGGAGAAAATTGATATAGCGTATTTTGCAGCAGAACATTAGCAACAACATTTGTTATCTTTTTTTGTTGAGCAGTGGGAGAGTTTTGAAATTGCTGTCTATATTGCTAGTGATATTACTTGACTTGCAGTAATAATTACACTCCATTTGAGAAGTTAGAATTGTAAAATGCAGCAAATGACATTGCAGAATTCAAAAAATGATCAATTACATTTTTGTTTTGGAGAAAACAACAGAAATTGTTATAACATTTTACTTACTTTTTAAAAAGCCTAAAAAAAGAAAACTAATGCAACTACCACATTTAAGGATTCTTGCAATATATTACATTTTTCGTATTAGTCGTATTAGATACTCATTAGGCCTTTTAAGATCCAAAAATTAAATATTCTAATTAATTAGTATTATTATTATTATACAGTATTTAAAAAGCGCCAATGGTTCGCTCAGCGCTGTACATTACAAAATTAATGAAAAAGTGTAAGGGTACATGCATGCTGGATGATAAAATCAACTGTTCTGGATGCCTATTTTGTGGCAGCAAGAAAACATGATGCAGGTCAAGCACTTGGGCTTTTATTAATTTAATTGGCCAGAAAAACATGCACGTTTAGCTGTGTTTACATGCGTTTACATGTGTTTTTGCAACATTTGGCGTTTTTCTGGCAAAACACTTCTACCCTTATCGTGAGTCTTCTGTTTTCAGGAAAGGAGCGTTTTACTGCCTATTAACGCTACTGCTCCTAAACTCTGGTAAAAGCCTTTATGTGCATGGACTTTGAAAAAAACCACCAAAAGTTCCAAAAATGTGAGTTTAGAAGCAGTAGCGTGCATGAGGCCTAAAGCTGACCATACATGGAAGGCAAATCGATTCCTGCCGGCAGAACACAATAGTGATGTGGGAGGGATTCCCCCATCAACGCTGACTGTGTTGATGGGGGCATTGAGCAAATTTCTTTCCTTCCACCTGTGGTGAAAGGGAGGAAAATTGCATAGTCTATGGCTTGACTAACACTTGGTACACAGCAACCTGTAACCTCCCAGTAAATAGTAATTATTCCCCAAAATTAAATACAGCAGTCTCTGCTGGTGATAGGTCCAGCAACACAGCATCTCACAGAAGAGTTTGTCAAGTTGCTGAAAGTTGCTGTCAACTTGCTGAAAGTTAAACTTCAAGAAATAGGCTGCTCACATGCTTATGTAGATGAGCTATTACCTATCTTTTATGGCCACATTAAAGTGGAGTTCCAGTGAAAAAAAAAAAAATAAGTCAGCAGCTATGAAAACTCTAGGCGCCGGCATCTTCAGTGTGGGTACCTGGCTGTGACAGCTTGCGGCTTCACAGCCGGGTGCTCACTGTGCATGCGCGAGTAGTACTGTGGTTTGTGAATGGTCCCGTAGTCATCTAGGACCTGTCATGTGTCCCAGAAGATTATGAGGAGGGAGGGGGGAGGACAACTTCCGCTTCCAATTGCCCAGGTACCTGTCAATTTCACGGTACTCGATCCCCCCCCCCTGCTCCCCAAAGATGCCAGTCCTTAACGAAGAGCAGGGGACCAGTCCTTAAAGGGGACTTCCCCTTTTGGGTGGAGCTCAACTTTAAAAATCTTTTAAGCCTCACTGGATGTTTTAAAAATGCTGCTCCTCTTGGCAACAGCATTTTGGCAGAAAAAACGGTTGATGCTTGTAAAAGTGTCTAATGCTTTTACAAGCGTTTAGGCGTGTTAACAGGCATCAAGCCTTTGGGTATTAATTCATTATTTTGGCCATTGAAATGAATTACTGATCAAGCACTAAATGTACCTAGCATTAACATGGGTTTAGGTGCATTTAAACATGTTTACACACATTTACATGCGTTAAGTGTTTGTTTCCTGCCAAAACACTGCTGTTGCTGGACGCCCTGGCAGTGGGTTTTTTTGCAGCTGCTAAAAACCCCTGCCACTAAAAGCTTCTAAAAGTCTATGTGTGCATGGACACATAGGATAACATAGAGGGGTGTTTGGAAGCTGTTGAAAAAAAAATGCCTGACACCCCTAAAAGTGCCTGCAAAAATGCCCTGTGTGCATGAGGCCTTATAGAAAGGAAGAGAGACATGCATGCCTGACCATAGTAAAAAATAAATTTAATTTAGTGATGGGGACAGTGAGATTCAGAACCCACATATACAAATGTATCTTTGAATTTTTACAAGTCACAGTCAATTGTTTTTCATTGGTGGTGTGGCTATGTCTCAATTGCAAGCAACTTACTGTAGTTCTTTTTTTGTAAATGTGCAATTAGGACAGCTAGGTGGGTTTCATATCAGCTAAGTGGATCTTCCATTACTCTCTCTCACCTCTGCACCAGCTGCTGGTGCATGAACAGCAGAGGCTTTTGGCTCCCATGAGGTCTAGCTCTGCACACAGTCGGTCAGGTCTGCAACTATAGTTTGTGTAGTGATTTACTTTTTTGATGGAGAGTGAACTTGGTGTAATCAGATAAAAAAATACACTTATCCTTAATGTTCTCTGTTTCTATCCACATAAGATGTGCTGCCTTTTCTGGTGGTAGGGACTGGTGTTTTTATTCTACTCTCCATTGATCTTTGACGATTTCCCAACTGGCCTTGTTCCGTTATTGTCATAATGCTAGTTCTTAAGACTAAAGGACCTTCTATGGTCTCAGGTGATTGACATACCTAGTAGCCAATAGGCAGTGCCTACTTCACCGGAAAGAGATGTAGGCATTGCAAAAAGGACCTTCCCACACTGCAGAGCAGAAGAAGGAAGAGTTGGACTCTGGTTGTTAAAGGACTGAGGTTTCAGGTTAGTATTTAGGATCTTTAGATTTGTATTTAAATGAAATTGAGTGACTACTAATGCAGTGGTATGGATTTTTTTTTTGTAATGACCAGAGATGAGCTTTAAATGTGTACATAAAAGAATACGTCTGACCCACTCATTGCTAACCAACATTTGCGCAAACAAATGACAAAGGGGAGCACCTAAAACTTTTTCCTTTTGCCAGCCTTTCCCTGAATATACAGTATATTAAAATCTTTACACTGGGTAAGGTTGACTTACTAAAGAGAATAGAATGTTTTACAAATTGAATGTTTACTTAGGTTCTTGGGTAAGTTGAATCTGTGTTCAAATAAACCCCCAATCATTTGCCAGCAAAAAGTCTGTTTTTTTTTAAATTTTGCTGATTGAGATTTTTATTTTAGTGAACCGAAAGCTGGCCATAGTTTTTTTCAATCAGTCAGTGGACTGATCAAAAACAACTGAACAGACTATGTTGGAAAACACAGTTCATGTATTTTGTGCAATAACTACATCAGTAGTCAGTAGAGATACAGTATGTTCTTCAACCAGTGGATGGCAGTGTTTATAAGTTTGTAGCTGCATCTATTGTACTGTATATTCTTTTCTCTGAAATAAAGTTTCCTGTTTGCAGTGAAGCAAGCAGAAAAGCACATGTGGAATGTGCACTGTCTGTTCTGTAGGGCTATATACAGGATCTCTAACAGGTTATGAACCCAGACTCAGTTATAGCCTGCTACAGCAAATAAGTGCAAGATACAAAAACAGAAAGAAGACTGCAGCAGAATAAAAAAAAAGAGCCAGTAACACAGCTGGAAGAAAACTTTGATTTGCAAAAATGACAAACCAGAACTACCAGTCTTGGAAATTCAAGATGAAAATGCTGCTAATAAGAGAAAGTATGTGGAAATCTATAAATGAAGTCAGGCCAGAACACCCTTCAGATGAGCAGCTAGAGAAAGATCAGAAAGCTCAGAGCACAATCTCTCTTAGCATAGAGAATGATCAAATCATATATACTGTATATGTGAGTGTAAGCCCTGGTTCGCGCTGGTGCGAATTCAGGTGTGACATACATTTCCAAATTGCACCTGAAGCCACATCTAATGTATTTCTATGGCACTGTCTTAATCAGTGCGATTTTTAAGCAGCACAAATTCAAAAATAGTTCCTGCGCTATTTTTTTCCAATTTCATTGTGACTTGCATTAATTACTATTAAATAAGGTCACAAGCCATGATGAAATCGAAGGTACAAATTGCGGCTTTGAAATTGCGCTACTTCAAGTGAAGTAATGTGATTTCAAAGTTGCATTCAGTATGAACCAGGGCTGAAAATGCTAAAGAAATGTGGCAAGATTACAAAAGGTGCTTGAAAGAGCTAATCTCAGCAATAAACTGTATTTGATTGGAAAGCTATACAAAACCAAGTTGATGGAAGGCCAGGATATGGAGGATTACAATCACCTTGGAAATGGTTCAACGCCTGAGAGGTATAGAGAAATTAAATATTTTCATGTTGCAACACTATTACTTAATGGTTTGCCAGAAAGTTATGAAACACTTATCACAGCACTTGATGCACGTGCAAATGATGAACTAGTATTGGAATATGTTAACCTCCCCCTGGCGGTATGATTATTTCAGATTTTTGGTGCTGAAAGTGGTACCATTATTTTGCATGGAAATGTGGCGTTTTATATTGTAGGCCTGTAATTTTTAGGAATAACTCACTGAAATCTGTCCGAACAAGAGTCTAGTAAACATTCCGGGTAGGATAAAACTTGAAACACGAAATCATAAATTATAATTTAATAAATAATCATAAAAAATAATAATATAATAATAAATTTAATTCAATAATATAATCAAACCAAAAACACTGAAATTTGAAATTAAGCGCCAAGTTCGCACATCACTGAGCAAAGTCGCAGAATTGTTTTCAGTGTCTGATGACGAATTTCCCCACAAATCATTATCACTCAATTCTGCAAGTGGTTCTGATTTACTATTGTTGTTCTCTAGCCGGTCTAAAACCGTTTTTGACCTAAAGTGATGCTTTTTGGACGCCATGGATTTTCTAAGTTTCTAGGCAGAAAGAACAGTCAAAATGCAGGCAGGGCACAGGACAAAGCAGTAGGGACAAAATGTATGTGAAATGCTTTGAAGCAGTAATGTTTTACTATGTCATATTCATTTATTAGAAAATTACAGTTTCTAAAATTTTTAAATTTGCCACCGGTTCCGGCCCCCGTATGTCCAGTACGTCCCGACGCTCGCAGGGACCGGAACACAGAAGCCGGATGCTGGCATCGGCCAGAGGAGATGGCCGGGGACGCTGTAGGGGACGCATCGCGGGAGCAAAGGACAAGAGGAGCGCTGCAGGGAATCCTTGAGCAACGCCACATGGTAAGCCCGAGTGTAGCTCGGAGATACCGCTTGTGGTACTGAAATTTTACCCCGAGCTACACTCGGGAATACCGCCAGGGAGGTTAGGGGCAAACTTATGGATGGATATAAGTGTAAAACAGAAAGCATTAGTAGTGACGGTGCTTTTGTCACAGTGTCTGTTTTAAAGACAAAAAAGAAGAATAAAAACACAGTAACATGCAACAAGAAACATTTAAAATCAGATTGTAAAATCTGGAAAGCTAGAATGAAAAAACAAACCAAACTACAAAAGGCCATAAGTGTGAAGGAAGAAACTGATTTTAATTCAGATAATGAATATGTTTTTCAACTCAAAAGTAGCACCTCATCTTTTCAGTCATGGTGTGTTAAATCAGGAGCTTTGAGTCACATGAAAAATGACAGAAATTTCTTTATTCACCTTGACCAGAGTAAAACAGAAAAAATCACCATAGCTAATGGCCAAATTTTGGAATCAGAGGGAATAAGAGATGGTTTTCTTTACTGCCTTATTTCCTAGAGTGTCACCAGAAAGATACCTGTGAAAAACGTCCTGTATGTCCCTACTCTTGAAACTAATCTTTTGTCAGTGAAGAAGCTCACAAAACAAGGCAATGTAGTGACCTTCCAAAGTGACAGTTCTGCCATCACAAAAGGGGATATCTTACTTGCAAAGGCTAAAATTACAGATTAACTGTTTTAGGTCAACTGCAATGAGGTAATTAATACTGCCAAGGAGAAAAATTATTCAACTTGCATTTGCACATGGCACAGATGACTTGGGCACATAAGTCCTGACATAATAACGAAATTAATTGTGGAATAAAAATCAGTCCATGTGATGAAACAATGAGATGCACCAACTGTATAAAAGGAAATTTGACAAGAAAAGCCTTTCCAAAGCAGAGTAACAGCTGAGCTAAAAAACCTCTGAACTTAATTCATTCAAATCTTCGTGAGCCAATGGAAAGATTTAGTCCAGGAAAGAACAGGTATTTTTTAAACTTTTATAGATGATTACTCAGGTATAATACACTATAACTGTTACACAACAATAGTGAAGTACCAGAGGAACTTGAACACTATTTGGCTTAAGTAAGCAACAAATCTGGCAATTTTCTGAGTGTATTGCACACAAACAATGGACATGAATACATATAGGTGATAACACACAGGCGATTATCAGAAAGTATGGCATAATATTTCATACTACTGTACCATACAACCCAGAACAAAACAGGGATGCAGAAATAAATGACCTGTACTGCATGTGAGAGTGGAAGACATGTGCTGTTTGATGCCAACCATCAAGCAATTATGACTGCATGCTATCTCCAAAACAACTACCAGGAAAATCAAGTGAGAAAACTAATTTATAGAACTGAAATGTGAAATGGGACTAATATAAGGAGTAGTTGTTGAGTTGGGGTGTTGGAATAGAGAGTGCATGTACTTTGTGCAACAACTACATCAGTATTGAGTAGAGATATATTCTTCAACCACTAGACGCCACTGTTTATACATTTGTAGCTGCATCCATGGTACTGTATACTCTATTCTCTGACATAAAATGTCCTGTTTCCTGTTTGCAGTAAAGGAAACATAAAAGCTCTGTCTTCTCTGTAAGGCTATATACAGAATCTCTAACAGATTCTCCTATCCACACAAGCAAGGTGGATGGGAGAATCATTTTGAAAGTGAAGAATCGTCTACAGTTAGAATACACTGATTAGCACTGCAGCCAACTGGCTGCATGTGCTGATTGAACAAAAATATGCCAACATTCCCGTTTGAGTGGAGTTAATCCGTAGATCAACTCCCCTTGAACAGGAATTGATAAATGGATTGAAATTCATCCATTCCCTGCTGTACCGGCCGAATTTCAGTCGTTCTATGGCCAGCTTTAGTGAACAGTTCAACTCTATTAGTAGAGCAACCCTAATATATTCTTAAACTGTTTTGTCTTTTTTAGAGTTTTCTGTGTTTTGAAATATATTTTGGTATACCAGGCAACACATGCTCCAGATACAGTACATTCAATTTATTTTTGTTTAGAATATTCTGCTGATATCAGCTTACATAGACAGAACATTAAAAAACAGTATTCACAAATTCCAGAATCCCTGCCTCTGCTCAGGTAGCTGTCAATCACACAGCTACACTGTATATAGAAAGAGATCATTTCTAGAAATATATTGTGCACATGCTGACAGATACAATAATCAGCTTTTCTAAAATGCCATGTATGTGTTGTCCCTGCTGTCACTTTGCTATTAAGTGATTTTAACTTCAAGTGGAAAAATTGGAAACCCTCATGACTCTTTGAAATTGAAAAGATTTGTGAACACATGACCTAGTCCCAATATAGAAATGGTGACATGTATCTTCCACCAATCACATTCTTCCATTTTGACAGCTGGAATCTAAACATCAGAATCTGATTTGCCACTGCAGGGTGACACTATCAATTAAAATAGTATAACAGTATTTGCACATGAGGCCACCATGCGTTTAATATTTAGCGTTAATAAATGCAAGCATGTGGAAAATTTAGCTTCTCAATGGTGGACTATTGAACACAGCAATGCAACAATGGATAGTGGGGGAGGATCTACATTAAAGCACCATTCCTTCTTTTAACTACGAATTGGGAATTTACTATTTAACTGGATCAAATCAGTGAATTTTCTTTATTTAAAAATTATTCATGAATAGTTTGTTTTCAGAAATCAGTGATAAAGGATGAGAAAATGGCAACAATTGCTGTAATACACTATATTGCCAAAAGTATTGGACCACCCCTCCAAATAATTGGATTCAGGTGTTCTAATCACCGCCATGTCCACAGGTGTATAAAATCAAGCACCTAGGCATGCAGACTGCTTCTACAAACATTTGTGAAAGAATGGGTTGTTCTCAGGAGCTCAGTGAATTTAAGTGTGGTACTGTGATAGGTTGTCACCTGTGTAATAAGTCTATCCGTAAAAGTTCCTTGCTACTAAATATTCCATGGTCACCTGTTAGTGGGGTTATAACAAAGTGGAAGCAACTGGGAACAACAGCAACTCAGCCACAAAGTGGTAGGCCATGTAAAATGACAGAGCGGGGTCAGCGCATGCTGAAGCGCACACTGTGCAGAAATCACCAACTGTCTGCAGAGTCAATAGCTAAAGACCGCCAAACATTGTGTGGCCTTCAGATTAGCACAACAGTGCGTAGAGAGCTTCATGGAATGGGTTTCCATGGCTGGGCAGCTGCATCCAAGCCTTACATCACCAAGTGCAATGCAAAGCATCGGGTGCAGTGGTGTAAAGCATGCCGCCACTGGAATCACGAGCAGTGGAGACGTGTTTTCTGGAGTGATGAATCATGCTTCTCTATCTGGCAATACGATGGACGTGTCTGGGTTTGGCGGTTGCCAGAGATCATTACTTGCCTGACTGAATTGCGCTAAGTGTAAAGTTTGGTGGAAGGGGGATTGTAGTGTGGGGTGGTCTTTCAGGAGTTGGGCTTGGCCCCTTCCTGTTCCAACATGACTGCACACCATTGCACAAAGCAAGGTCCATAAAGACATGGATGAGTGAGTTTGGGGAGCAGGAACTTGACTGGCCTGAACAGATTCCTGACCTCAACCCAATAGAACACCTTTGGGATGAATTAGAGCAGAGACTGCGAGCCAGACCTTCTCATAGAAGAACTGTGCTAACCAGACCAGAAGGGAATATTAGGTAACTGTCCCTGTGTTCTGGCTATTTAACTGTAGCTGCCCATAACTTCCTGATTTCAATCCTTGTGACAGACAGACAATTATCTCACATGCACAGTGTAACATATTATGTTATTATCTCACATGCACAGTGGAAGATGGCTAGGTTTGTGCTACTGTATATATGTATCAGTCACCTACCAGTATATTAGTATGTGAACCTGTTTATTGTAATAGAGTTTATATTTGGCTCCTGTTATTTTAGTTAACCCTGTCCCTTCTGGTCTGAGATTCTATTGCTAGTTATAGCTTAGGGCTCAATAACCAGCACTCTTCCACCTAGCAAAGGTTCTGGTTCTCTTATTTATCTACAGGTTTAGTGCAATATCCTGTTTGGGGAGGGCCATTTTTCAAATCCCCCAAAATAGGGCTACACATAAATTGATTTATTTCCCAGCAAACTATGTGTAAGGAAAAGGCCGTTGGAGAGAATAGTTCAGGGAAGCAGGGTTCCTACAACAATAGGCACTTACCTAGCATGCCTTGCTGATTCCTTCTGCCAGTAGCTGCCCCTGCAAGAACTTTACAAGCCTGGTGATGATGTTACCGGAATAATACATTCTATAGCAATCAAATAAAAGAAAAACTAAAATCCCGAGACATGTTTTAGAGAGGGATAAGGGGGTTTGGAGGGAAATTGGATCATAACTAACAAAGTCAGGTTCTAAGGTTTGAATACTGTATACACAGATCATATAATTTTAAATGAAATTGCTATATTTACAATTAAAGGAACAGTAAAACAAAATCACTATTCTATAATATTAAGTAGAAAACACTGACTCTATACAGTATGTAATTATGGACATATAGGGGTTGGTTTACTAAAACTGCAGAGTGCAGGATCTGGTGCCGCTGTGCATGATAGTCAATCAGCTTCTAACGTCAGGTTGTTCAATAAAGCTTTGAGGGAAAAAAAACTGAAAGCTAATTGGTTGCTCTGCAGAGCTGCACCAGATTTTTTACTCTCCAGTTGTAGGAAATCAACCCAATATTGTACAATATAGGTAAAGCTGTTACGTTAAGGTACCAAAATAATGGCAACACTCACAAGAGTAAATCTATCACAACAATATATAAAAGAAAGAAAAAAGGGGCATTCCAGAGTGACCCACCGATATCTATATGTACATATAAAAAACCCATATCTCAAACATAAATTTGGTATAAAAAAATCT